GCACCTACGTCTGTTGCCCTGCCCAGGGGACCCACTCACAGCCGTCCGCACGGTGCTGCTGCTCTTGGAGTGGACATGGCAGGACGGCCCTCTCCCCTCTGGACCTGGCTGATGGCTCAGGACACAGGCCCAGAGCCACCCCCAGGGCAGCTGCATGACAGCAATATAGTATTTAAGTGTCTGTGTAGACAATCAAAGAATAAATGATTCATGTTTTTGTACTCGCTAGTTTGTTCAGAGACTAGAAACATGCCCACCTGCCCCAGAGGTCTCACTAAAAATTGCCCCTGACAGGATGCAGTGGTGGATGTGGTGCGAGGAGGCCTGGCTCAGTCACCCGGCCTGGCCACTTCCTGTGCAGCATTAGGCCAGGCGCTTAACCTCAGGGACCTCGGGGTTGTCACCTGTATAATGGGATCCCAATCCTCGCTCCGCCCCGTGTGGGCAGTTGTGTGGCTTGGATGCAATATCGGCTATGCTGGATGAGTGGCAGGGATTATGATTAATCCTTCTCTGGCGGGGAGCAGCCGGTCAGCAGTGCTCTGGCTCACTGCCTCCGGGTCAGCCACATGCGTCCTACTCGGCGGTCTGGCCGCAGAGCCCACATAGCTCAGGGTCTCCATGTGGAGGACAACACACACGTCTAGGAGACAGGAAAAGCAGAGCTGGCCACTCAGCTCCTCTGGCTACGAGCCCCTCTCGCCTGCTGGGCCTGAGATGCGGTGGGGCGGTGAGCCTGGGAACCTGCGCACAGTGCTCATTTATTCAATCTGTAAGGGTTTATTTATTGAGCCCCAGCTAAGTGCCAGTGCTGGGACTATGGTAGCAAACAAAACAAGCCCCCGCCCTTGTAGAGCTTATATTTTAGTAGGGGAGACAGGTAATAAACGTGTGTGAATGTGTGTGTGTGTGTGTGTGTGTGAGAGAGAGAGTGTGTGAGTGTGTGTGTATGATCGTGATCCTTTGAAGTGGAAAAGAAAAAGTAGCAGTGAGGTCAGAGTCTCGGGGGACCCGTCGGCCACTGTGAGCACTTCAGTTTTGACTCAGTGGGACAGAAGCCCTCTGAGGGTTTTGAGTGTGTGTGTTGGGTGGGGGGCGACAGCATTCAAGTTACATTCTAAAGACCTCCGTGAAGAACATGAAGAGCGTGTGTGGAGAATGGGCTATGGGGGTGAGAGGGACAAGGAGAGCAGTACTGCTGTAGCAACCCCGAGAGGGACGAAGGTGGTGTGCGCCAGGGTGTTGACAGCGACAGGTCAGGTTCTGGATCTATTATTAAAGTAGAGCCAACAGGAGTTGCTGATGGATTGGATGGCATGAGAAAAACACCAAGGATTCTTGCTTAAGTGGTTGGAAGAATGGAGCTGCCCCTTCCTATGACAGGGAAGGATGCAAGAGGGATGGTGATGTGGAAACCAGGAGCTTGGTTTTGCACGTATGATGCTTAAGTTTGAGAAGCCCACTAGGTTTCCAAGTGGAAATAACAAACAGAGAGCCGGATAGATGAGTCTGATGTTCAGGGAGAGGTGGAGGTCGGACCGTGACTTTGGGAGTCCACATTGACGTATGGATGGTGTTCAAAGCCAAGAGTAGTCAGCGGAGACAGAGGAAGAGTCAGAAGACAGCCTGGCTGGAGGTGACACTGGGATCTAACAGAGGACATTAGGACCAGCAGTGAGCGAGGGACCCGAGAGGGGTGGTGTCCTGGAAGCCGACGGGAGTGTTTTATGGAGGAAGGAGCTGAGAATACACTTTTGGGTTTGGTGACATGGAGCTCAGTGAGAACTGCAGCAAGAGATGTTCTGGTGAGGTGGTGTGGACGAAAGGTGGGCTGGAGTGAGTTCGAGTCAGAAGGGGAGGAGAATGCATGGTGATGGTGGGTATAGACAGCTCTTCTCAGGAGCTTGGCTTGTGTAGGGGCAGAGAGAAGACCTGGAGGGATATGAAGTGAAGGAATGGTTGTTTTTTAAGCTGGGAGGCAGCACCCGTGTGAGTATGCTCATGGGAATGATCCCGTAGGGATGGTCACTGTTCCTTTAGTCATGGATTGTCCTGTGTCCTGTTTGGTGACTCACTGGTCTTACGGAGAGAGGACCATGTTCATGGGAAGAGCATGAGCTTCACCCACGTGCTCAGCAGGCGAGACGCCCACTTCCACCCTTTGGATTTGTGTGACCTCCGAGTGTGTTTCCTCCCCAGTGACGTGGGGTTACGTTGCTGACCTCCCAGGATGCTCAAGAGTATTCACGAGGGGATGCTCATAAAGTGCCTGNACTGTTCTTTACATCAAACAGGCACCACACTTACAAGGTAGATGCTGTTTTACAGATGAGAAAATTAAGGCTCGGAGAGGTTAAGTAACCTACTAACATCATACATCTCATTAATGGAGGAGATCCGAGAGTCAAACCCAGTTCTTTCTGGTCCTGGAGCCCATGTTTTAGGAATGTGTTTATGATGTTTCCTCAACAATCTGTGAAGGCTTGAGAGGCAGCAGCTGTTTGGGAGTAGAGCTAGGACTAGGACTTGGATTTCTGATCTTCCAGCTCCAAGTTCTGTTCCCTGGACCACCTACCTTTGGAAGTGACCAAACCAGAGATTTTCCTGGTGAACAGGAAACAACTAGAATTTCTCTTCCTTACAGGGAAGCAGTATCCAATGGAGAGTGTCTGGATTTAGCCCAGTCTTGTCATTGCTTTGCAGGTGGCCCCCTACTCTATGAAGGCATCCATCTCACCATGAACTCCAAAGTCCTGAACGGTTCCCAGCGGGTGGTGATGGATGGTGTAATCTCTGATGATGAGTGCCGGGAGCTGCAGAGACTGACCAACGTAAGGAAACCCAGTGACCTACCTTCTCCCTAAGGGCCCCCTCCACTCAGTGCCTCCTAGGCTGAGGGCCTCAGATGGTCAACTGCCCTGGCTAACTCCACCTGTTTTTTGGGCCTTGTAGGCAGCAGCAACTTCAGGAGATGGCTACCGGGGCCACACCTCCCCACACACCCCCAACGAAAAGTTCTATGGCGTCACTGTCTTCAAAGCCCTCAAGGTAGAGTCAGTACTCAGTGTTGGAGAGTGTGGAGTGGGGGGAGGGGGAGGCCCAGGCTTTGGGAGGAGCTGGGGATGGTGGTAGGAAGGGTTAAAGAGGTCTACCTGTTGACACTCCTAACTGCCATGGATGATAGATTAAGCTGAGTGAGGTTAACTCTTGAATCCTGGCTATTAGACCAAGTATAATAAAATGAGGCGAGCAAGACAAGACTGATATCCAAAGCTGTGAGCGTGCTTTCTGAAGAATGGCTGGCTCCAGGGACCTGTGTTTCTGCATAGCACACTCAGATTATTCACAAAGAGGAGTATGAAGGCGCAGGGAGAGCGTGATACAGGAGGGATGTGTGGGAAGCAGAGAGACGTCACCTTTGGCATGGGGACAAGGGGTGGGGCCTGGGGCCTCAGTGGTCCCTGTTGGCCCACAGAGGGGCATGCAGGGCAGCTGACCACTGGTCTCCTTGGCAGCTGGGACAGGAAGGGAAAGTTTCTCTGCAGAGCGCCCACCTGTACTACAATGTGACGGAGAAGGTGCGGCGCGTCATGGAGTCCTACTTCCGCCTGGACACCCCGCTCTACTTCTCCTACTCCCACCTGGTGTGCCGCACCGCAATCGAAGGTGGGCATCCTTCAGCCCCACGGCCCTCGGAGAACAGGATCTGGTCCTAGTTTGGAAACGAACATAAACAAATATGTGGCAACCCACCGTGATAAGCGCAGTGGAGGAAGTCATAGTTAGTCTACCCAGGGAGTCAGGAGGGCTTCCTGGAGGAGGTGATGACAGTTGTGCAGGATGAATAGGAGTTGTAGAGCACTCAGGGTGACGGGAGGATGTTAAAGCCAGAGAAAACAGCATGTGCAAAGGAGTGGAGGCATTAAGCAAGAAAGTTAGGGAAAGTAAGAAAGTTACCATTCTGGAGAGTAAGGGTAAAGGGGGGAGCAATCAGATAAGGCTGGTGAGACCCTCAGAAGCCAGATTATGGAGAGCTGTAGTCAAGAGCTGGGTTAGGCTGGGTTGGTTTAGGCCGGTGATTCTCAATGATGGTGTTGGGCATACAGATGATTCTGTCCTGACCCCTCGGCCTAGATGGCTTAGCCAGAGACCCCCATGTTCATTGGGTATTCCCACAGACCCAGACGCATTTTGGGAAGTATCCCCCATCCCAACAGGAGAGCAGTGATGTCTCCTAAGGTGCCTCAGCACTAACATGTGTTACCTTGGCCCCAGAGGCACAGGCTGAGAGGAAGGACAGTAGCCACCCAGTCCACGTGGACAACTGCATCCTGAACGCCGAGGCCCTCGTGTGCATCAAGGAGCCCCCAGCCTACACCTTCCGGGACTACAGGTGCCAGCTCGCCCTCCAAGACCCCCAGTGCCCTGCGTCCCAACACACACACACAGATTTAGGACCAGCTGTTCCCAGAGTGCAACCCCCTATCCTCAGACCCCCTGAATGGAAGTCAGACAATAAGGGAGTCATTACAGTGTACTGTGATGAGTAGAACGGTGAAAGGTGGACTTGGTGCAGAAGTGCCCCCGGAGAAGGGCATGGTGGAGAGAAGGGAGGGGTGGGAAGTTTAGGATTCCTTTGTGAGGCTTCAGAGAAGGTTCTAGAAGACTTTCTTCTTATGAAAGGTTCCCCTCCAGCTGCTGGGTGAGAGCACTTGGAGATGAAGGCACTGGAACTGTGGGTTGTCTGGGGAGCGGGAGGCGGAGGTCCATTTCGAGATGCTCTCTGCCTTTCCCAGCGCCATTCTTTACCTAAATGGAGACTTCGATGGAGGAAACTTTTATTTCACTGAACTAGATGCCAAGACCGTGACGGTGAGTGTGCCCTTGTCCCCATCCCTGGGGGACAGAAACCCCCAAAGTGCAGTGGAAAGGACAGCCAGTTGGTCTTCCTAGTGGCCACCGCTCCCCTCCCAAACCAGGGGGGCTTGGAGGTGTGTCCATTACTCCTCTGACTGGTCCCCTTTCCTCTTTAGCTTGGTCTTTGGGGAGCCAGGCCGAGGAGCCCCCCACAATTGTGAACCCTAACGACTCCATGTGTGTTCTGAAGGCAGGTTACAGTCTGTCCTGTGTTGTTTCCCCCCGCTTTGTGCCCTCCAGGCAGAGGTGCAGCCCCAGTGTGGAAGGGCCGTGGGATTCTCCTCAGGCACCGAGAACCCGCATGGAGTGAAGGCCGTCACGAG